CCTAAGAATCTATGCCAGTGCCTCTCTGCTAGCACAAATCCAACTTCTAGTTTATGGCCCTGATCCTGCAAAGCTCTGTACCCAAAGAGCCCCAACGGAGTGAGCTGAGCTTCATGTGTGGAGGTCAGCTAGCAGAACTGGCTACAGAAACAACTAAGTCTATTCTCCATTTCTTTAATTAACAATCTGACTACATGGAATTTTCAACTGATTTAAACAAAGGGAAAAAAAAAAATCAAGGAGAATAAATTCAAGAACTTACCTTCAGATTTTAATTTTGTAAGAACAAATATCAGATAGTTGTTAAAATCTGGATACTGATTGAGTTGTTCCAGTTTCTAAAGAGTAAATTTTGTTAAGGAAAAATACGTAACAATTGATGATAACAGTAACTTCTAAATAATTAAATCCACTTCCGCAGTGAAAAATCTTTCAAAGAGCAATTATCTTCCGCAACACGCAAAGTCCTAATTCCAAAGCACGAAAGCTTATATCCAGTTTCAGTGAAATTCTGAGCAACTGGTGCAGAAAAATGAAAACTCAAAAGGTTTTAATTAACTTCTAGCCATGCAGGAAGAGAATGCTTTGCAATACAGGCACTCCTCACTTAACGACCTACCTGTTTAATGACCGCATGGACTTATGACCAGCGAGAACTGGTCGTAAGTACGAGAACTTTGGTCGTGGAAACGGCAGCGCGGCGTCTCAAGCCAAGGCATGCAGTATCAAGGGGCAGCTCCTCGCTTATCGACCAATTCGCTTAACGATCTAGTCGCAGGAACAGAACTTGGTTGTTAAGTGAGGAGTGCCTGTATTCACATTTTAAAAATTTTTTAAGTTTAAGCAGCACAGACCTTAAGCAATCTACTAACTAACCCACTGTTCAGCAAGACACATACCTAACATTTTTTATTTTTACTTCAGAAAAATTATGCCTCTCAATATTAAAACTGTTTATAATGACTCTGTATGGTCTACTAGCCAAAAAATTAACTATGATTCTTGCTCTTGGACTTCAATATAAGTCCCTTAATATTAAGGCACATGACAAAGTACCTTATTAAAACATGGCCAAAATGAGATTTCAGAGTTGACAATGCTGAACAGCCACAAACACTGCAACATGAAATTGCTTGTTTTTAAGAAATGGTGACTATATAGTGCTAAACTGGCCTCATATATACATTCCCATTTCTTAAGAGTACCAACTCTGAAAGAACATGTTGGCAGCTTGCTCTGATGTGCCTTGAGGAAATCAATAGGGTATATTATAGTATTTCTAATGAGTCATACTGTTATATAGTTCACGGGCCTACAGTTGTTTTCCCCTCCTCCCCCCAAAGTTTGTCATTTCCAGTGACTCCAATCTGTAGGTATTTTACTGTCACTTGCCTAGCAACAGATATCTGGCATTCTGTTATATTTCCCTTACATCCACTGTGGCCATTAATTCTTATTCTATTCACCAATAGTATTTTAAAAGCTTAAAAGGGGAAGTTAGGTGTTTAAATGATTAAAGGAAATCACAGTAAAGCAAAATATGTTTAAAAAATTCTAGATTATTTGCTGAACAGGCAACTATGTTTCTTGCCATTTAAAATTATTATGACTTAGATAGCCAGAGTTCCTAAATTAGAATTATTTTTGATTAATCTTTCATTGTTTGTATCAAAGAACTAAGATTTCCTAAATCAAGTCCAATTCAAAAATATCAGACTGTCATGTCATATCATCTCATTCATATACTTATCTAACTTAATCTTAAAATTAAAGATATTTGCATCAAGTAATGACTTCATTGAAAATAAAAAACTAACAGCACTAAAATAAAACTAACAGCTAGGAAATGCAGAAAACAGCAAATACAACATTTATCAGACAAGTCTCTAGAATGGAAAGAGATGGCTGGAGCAAAATGAGTCACTTGTGCACATAAACATCCCTGGGACATGATGAATGCACATTCCAACAGCCAAATTTTACTCAAGACTGGGACGCTGAAGAGTTGTATCTGGATCAGTTGAGAGGCCATTTTGGAGACATCCCCTTAAAACTGTGTAAAGAGCAACATTTGATTAATAGTTGCCAAAAAAAAAAATCAGTTTTATACCATCTTCTCCTAAGGGGAAGTAGAGGGGGTGGAGGGAATAGTGGGTAAGAACTAGAGCAATAGTGCTAAGCGTTGTTGGTCCAGGATTCACAGGCTTGGAAGGCTGGATCATCATCTTACTTCTTTTCTTGAAAGGAGCTGCAAATCGGGCCTCAAATTATTAGGTCTCTCCCACATACAACTGCTTTTATTTTGGGACTAATAACATCCCTGAATCAAAAAGGCAGTGGACCCTAGTACCATCATATTTAAAATGGTTTTAAAGTACACTGCAATCTACTTTATTTAAATTTGTTTTTAAGTTATATGAACACATGCTGTTTGGTGTCAAAAACAAAAAGCAATGAGGAATGCAGGGTATATTAAAAAAAAAAGAAAATAAAAATAAATTTGAGATGACTTAAATATGATGAAGATAGCATCTACCCCACTAAGCACCATATGACATAACAGTTATCATAAAGGCTTGCTGGAGTAGGCTTAAAAATATATCAAGTGGCATTTAATTATACAGCACAGTTTTTGAAAGTTAGAGGGTTTTTCAAAACTGCACTGTATAACAGTAAAAACCTGCCACTTACCTAACCCCTTATGGGTCAACACCAAAGTTCCATAGCAGGTGCATCTATAAAGTATGGCATCTCACCACACAACAGAGAGACACTAGTGCCACCGAAAGGAACCTGAATGAAAAAAATTAAAATAGGTCACGTAATAAGTGTCTTGCCTATCCCTTTGTCCCCTTGTCCTGTCAGGCCAGTCCTCTCTTGGTACCTCTCTGCTATCTGGTACCTTGTAAACAAGTAGTCTGTTTCAGGGTCTGGTTGCTAGCAACTGAACTAGTGCCCCCACCTGGGCTAGCCTGGATGAGGAGGGTGTGTGGACACCCAGCAAGACTATAAACAAGATCTGTCAAAGGATGGATGAGCTCCTTATAAGCCAACGGCCATCTGTACCTGGAGAGGAGATGGGTGTTACCCATCACTTTGCCCAAAGAATCACCAATGATACATAGTATCTAAGGTGTCCTAACAGTCACAGCAGCCTCGGGACTGACTTGACTTTCTCTTGGTATCTGAAACATTCAGTACACTACAATGTTCCTTAGGTTAGGAATATCTGAGATTATCAAAAAGGATTCTGAATCTTCCCTCCTGTCCCACAATCAGTTACTTTATCTATCATTAGCATATCCGAATATTAAATACTGAAAATTATAATTATTTACTTTTTCATTCTGCCTTTTTCTGCTTACTGTTTCTTAGCTCAAACCATTAAGCAGCTAGTTCCACTTCTAAGTCAGTTTCTAATCATTTTTAAGATACTACTACCTGCTATAGATTTGAGAATATTACAAATGATGTTAAAACTTACAAAAATGCCATTAGACTTCATTATGTCTAGAAAATGTGTTTTTCTAGAGAAAAGCTGGACATGCTTAATCATGCTTTCCAACATCCTTTGGAAAAAAACTATAGCTTTTTCCAAGAATAAGAGAAAGTTTAAAAACTACATTTCAACCATTTCTGAAGCCTCACTGTTACCACTAACACCCTGTGGCACCTAAAATGCTAGAAAGACATTTACTTCAAATTTGTGTTTTATTTTAGGCACCTAATAACATTTGCTCCTCAGTCAGCTGGACTTTCACATAGCAAATAAACATCTTAAAATGGAAAACATGGTTGCAAAACCCACAAAAAATTGTATGCAGTCAGCATCTGAAAGTATATCTTTCAACTGAAATTAAAAATCAGTTTAGTGACCACAGCAAATCACAGTAACCCTTAAAGATAAACCTAGCGTAAAAAAAAAGAAAACAAAGAACAAAAAGAAGAGGCCAATACATTTCTTATTTTCCATAGAGATATTATCTCCCCACATCGGGAGAGATGGTTTTTTGGGAAGCAAAGTTAAATGAATGCCATCTTTTCTGGCTGGCGCAGGGCAACCCATCGCACGCAGGGTAGCATGGGCAGGCTGCACCATGGCTGGCAGAGCAGGAGCAAAGCGTGAGAGCAGGCAGTGCACGGGACAGGGAGAAGACAGCTCGGGGAAGGCACGGAGCTGGGGGGGTCTCAGGGAAGGCCGTGGCACGGCTGTTCTACAGCCCCCCGCCCCCGGCCTGCGGGACAAGCCCGCGGAGGGACGCCCCTTCCCCGGGGCCCTCTGCCCGCCTCGCCTCACCTCACCGGGAAGGAGGCCGGAGCGCCACAAAGCCCCACTGGAGACTAGCCCCACCAGCCCTCGG